CTCTCTCTCCGAGAGATCTTTTATTACCAATTAAATTTCACCAGCAGTTTTCTGATTTCTGTAATAATGCAAGTTAAGCCACTCCAACTTCGAAACCCTGCCATTGTCTTTAATGTCTGGGAGTGATTCGCCGTAACGTCCCGCAGTGAGGATAAGTGCCGCAAGAAGAAGGGAGCCAGGGCGCGGAACGGGCGTGCCCGAGAATGGGCTCGGATAGCGGTGGCGTTTCAAGTAGCATTTCCTTGGCACAAACGACCCTCTTAATCAATCGCTAGCACCTCTCTTCTTCTCCCGGCTGCCTCGGCTCTACAGCCTCGGAGCTGCGCGTGGAGCACCCGTTCTCCACCTCTTGCTGCCGGAAGTCTAAAGCCCCCGTAACAAGCCGCAACTTCGATAAATCTCCCCGCGCCGTCTTTCTTTCCCCGAGAACCGCGATTCCGCGGCATTAGCAAGAACGAAAGGAGAAAGAGGCGAGCAAAAGATATATCCCGGATCGATTTCGGGCGAAGGCGCTCGAGGGATACGATACGAAAGCGGGCAAGCAAGAGAGTGGGAGAGGCGAGGGGGGAGACTTCAGTTCGGGACGGGGGAGAAAAACTTATGAAAATCCGGGATTTATGGGGACGTGTAAGCGAGAATCGAGCCGGGCCGAGCCGCACCGTTGTGGCTCGGTTTTGACAAATCGTCCGGAAGTTAACGTTCCCGATCGTTCCTAGATCGCCCTTCCGCAAAAGCGAATCCCTCCCTCGATGCCCTGTTCCTTAAAAAAAGAAAGAAAAAAAAAAGAAACTTCGACCCTTTCAATACTCGTATTTCGTATCGAAAGTTTACATGCGTCTCGCTTCGACGGCAAACGCTTTCGGCAAAGTTAGGTAAAGGTAAAGTTGTTTCTTTTTTTAAAAGTCGAGAAATCGATAAACGCCACGATATTGGTTTCAAATTCTTATATTTTGTTTTGCCGTTGGCTACTTTATAGTTTATGAGAGGAGCATGTTTTCGCAAAACTCATGTTGAAAAGAGCGAAGATTGATAAAGTAAGATTATAATTGAATATTGCACGCTCGAAGCCAATCAATAAATGTGACTTAAATAAAGATTTAACAGTATTTTATGATAAATTGTATTGTCAACTTTATGCATACATTTCTCAAGTTAATGCAATAGTGAAAAATTTATTTTTCAAAAAAATAAGAGAACTGATATTTTATACTCAACTTTAATGATTAATCCAAAATTGTCAAATTTCGAAAGATTTTAAATAATATGAAAAGACATCTCTCCTATCATATTCCATCATATTTCTTGCTGTAAGCAATATTCCAAGGTAAACTTTCCAGATTGATTCTGAGATTCGTCAATGGATCTGAACTGAAAGAAAGAATGATTTGGGGTGATCTATAATAGAGATAGGTATGCAAGAATTTTGTATAAAATATTTGCCGCTTCACCTGGATTCGAAATACAATCTCCGATTGCTGAAAGAGAGACCTCGTCGCACACCCCCCCTCCCCCCTCCCCGCCCCCTCCTCTCTCTCTCGATCTTCAGAGAACCCGCATATTTCTCGTGGAATTTTCGTGTTGAAGTTCTCCGTATCGGGGACCGCTCGTAAAAAGACCCGACGGAGCAGAATTACCTCGGAGAAAGGAACATGAATGCTTCGACTGAATGGAAAATGGCAACTATAAGGAAAGTCTAAAAGTTTCGAGCTTCGGAAAACTGAAAATGGGGAAAGGCCGTGAGTTTAAGCGCCGATATAAACGATTCGGCTTCTTGCTTTCGGCGCTCGAGGAATCGATCCAATCCGTATAGTCACCTGCGCCATTTAGGAAAAAGCAATAATCGTTTGATTCTCTGCGTTTCTACGGTAGAATCTTCAATTGCTAGACTCTTTGTTCGTAAAAAACGGATAAAATCGAAAAGCTCGCTGCACAGAGATAAACACGGCATCCGAGATTCAACACGCTTTTGTATCTACACATTGTAATCTATTATCTTCATATATTTGCTTTTATTTAACTCACACTCATTAAATAACTTCTAATATGAAAATATAATAAAAAATTCTTAATGTAAAAAATTATAAAATCTGAAGAATAAATTAATCTTCCTTTCACAGGCAAAAATATCTTAATTTGAGATTTAAAAATCTAAACATTATTAATGATAGCAAATATGTTTAAAGAATCAAACGTTCCAATTGTATTAATTGGCTTTGAATCTCATCGCAAAGGATGTCTATTGGCAACATAAGTAGATCGCTTTGTCAGGTAAAGTCTCGGATGTGATCACATAAAGCAAGGATTACCCCTGATCCATCGAAATAATTCTGCATTAGGGCACACACAGGGTCGGATACGAGGCTAATCTATTCGGACCAGGAGCGAGTGCTCTTCGAAAACGCGGGAATTAAACGCGATCCCAAAAATATGAGAGAAGCGACCTCCGTTATAATAAATCTCAGAGTAACCAGCAGAAATTTATGCGTCGTATAAGCCAATTATTTATTAGCGCCGCGCGATTCAGGAATAGAGAGAGAAGAGAATACGAAGCGGGATAGAAACCTTTTTGCGACTGAAAAAAAAAAAACATGAAATATGGCGAGTCGACCTTGATTTAAAAAAGCTCGAAAATAATAAATAAACATAAATTTTTATATATAT